CCAACTGTAGTAATAGAATCTCAGGAGCATATAATCATCCTCTAGGGAGCACGTCTTACAAATCGAATCTATTTTACAGGTAGAAATACCATAAAGAGAATTACTGTTGGAGGGATTACTGGAACACTGCATTCCTACACATGTCAAAGAGGAAAACATTCCAATGTAACTTTATAAAATGTTAAATTGTGTCAACCAGCCAGATGTATTTTTTACACTTTCTTTCCCATTAGGGAAGTAATATCTACCAAATAAATGGCGTACACTAACAAATGGCTAGCTTTCATGCTGCCTTGCCTGTGCCTTTGTTGTTCCCCATGTGTGTCTGAAGACTGAGAAAGCAAGGCCATGAACATAGCAGGGACTGAGAACATGGGGACCTCGGTACCATGGATATCTCGCGTCCTGTCTCTGGAGCTTTGGTATATACCAGGATTTATTTGTTCCATATGAGCACAAGCTCATGAATGCAGATAATTCCATTTGGTCTTCAATTAAGAGCTCTCTTGACTCCTGTTATTAAAGCCTACAGACTATTGAGCGTAAAATTAAAGTTGAGCAGATCAGCTCTTTTGACATTATAACACTGCCTGAAAACTAGTGATGAGAAAACCCAGGAGTCAAACGATACCCCTTACACCCAATGGGATGTGGAAATATTGAGAGAAAATAAGAAATATATAAAATGCGATAATTAGTGTACACGTATTAGGAACATGCTACCATGTTCATGCAAATACATCAACCAGTTTGTTGAACACAAGATAGTATATTGATTTTTAACAAAATGCTACAGGATTATTATTGCTAAAGTTTCCACGAAGGAAATGATTAAAGCCATAAACATTTTTAAGGCTTTAAAATGACTTCAGGCAATAACCAGAAATACTATAGGAAATCAATATACTGTAATTGAAAGGAAATTGAATTGGTCTTTACGTTTTTATCCTCTTTTATTTTCTCTAGACTGCCAGACTACAGAAGATAGTGAATCTTTTGCTGCTACCAGCAATGTGACTTTCTGTAAATCTCCTGTGCTGCAGGGGCCACTTTTATTGTTTTTTATTTAGAAAGCACTCAGCTGAATAGATAGTATGAGATTTCGTGTGCATTCTCTTTATTAGTCTCTGGCTTCATTCTTAAAAAAAAGAAAAACAAAACCAAAAACAAGCAGACAAAAATGACCTTCTCCACATAGCCAGAAAAGTAAAAATAATGAGATTGCAAACAATGAAACCAGAGGGGTTGTTAGATAAACCACACACTTGAACCTAAGTGAAATTCTTCTGGTTTTTATCAAGTACTATGCCAGTCAATCTTCGTATGCAGCAGAAAATACCACCTATCGCAGATACAAATCAGTTTGAATCTACATGACCCTCACTCATTTTGACTGCATAAAATTGGGGAAGAAAGTTGTTCCCGTCAAAGAGAATAGCTAGAAGTGAACCTCAGGGAGATGAGGAGCTATAAACAGAAATTGAAGAGTTTTTAAAACTTGAGAAATCCTTCAAAAAGATGTAGATACTCAACATTTCCTCTGTGCACTGCTATTGTTTAATTCCTTATTCATTCTTGGCATACATTTTGAGCTGTAGCATCGGGATTTTAGATAAATAAAAAGGTAGTCCATGCTTTTAGTAAGTTGGCCACACGAAGTATAGCATTCCGAAAATATTTTTGACTACTATTGTATTTCATTTTTCTACTACTTTCCTTGACCCAATGACTTTTTGACTGTTTAAATGAATAAAAGATAACATAGTATGAAAAAAAGAACACCTCTGTCCTCAGTTTCCACTTCTATAAAATGGGAATAATAAGAGTTACCTTTCTGGACAGCACCTGTAGCTCAAGGAGTAGGGCGCCAGCCCCACATACCAGAGGTGGCAGGTTCAAACTTGGCCCCGGCCAAAACTGCAACAACAACATAATAATAATAATAATAGTTACCTTTCTCAAAGGGTTGTTTTAAGAGTTCAATGAGTTACTATAAGTAAAGGGTCAGATGCTTGGCACCTACCATGCACTGTGTAAATGTTATAATTGTTATAAAATCGTGATGGTGATGATCTGCCTTTTAAATTTTGCTGCCAGAATGTGAATCCTAAAGCTATTATTTTGAGGCAGCCACTTAACAATTCTGGGCCTCAATTTCCTTAACTATAAAATAGAAATATCTTCTGTCCCTACCTTAAATAGAGCATGTTTATGGAAAGGATTCATAAGCTACAAACCAACGCTACAAGGAAAAACACTGAATCTGGACTCTTAAAAGAACTAATTTAACTCCTGGTGTCAGCTCTTAAGTGGCCCTAATTAAGTTCTTAGTTGCTTTGTCTATAAAATAAACAGTAATGGTAACAGCACCTTCACATAAAGTTACTTTGAGGCTTAAATGAGATGATGTATAAAGAGCTCAGTACCATGGCTGACACATAGAAAGCATTAAGCAAAGTTCAGAAATATATTCAATATAGGACATAAGTATTATTTTAACTTCTTAATGATGTCTGTGTTATATCACATTTGGATATGTGATAAGAGGATCTATTTTATTTCTGGTTTTTCAGAGAATCTGTATCATAAACTGTCTGTAGCCTACAATTCAGTCTTTCCACATCCTAGTTTTTGGTGTCCGCAGCTAATAATTAGGAAACATTTGTGCATAGGAAGGAAGAATTGCATTAACTAAAATGAGTTTGCCAATCCTGAAAACCAGACCACTGTTATTAAGAACAACGGTACAAATGCTGTTACCAAAATACATGAAAGAAAAACAAAAAAGAGAATACGGGAAGGTGAAAAACCTTCATCAGAAAGAGGAGAGAAATTACTGTCTTGTGATAGACATGAGAAAGTCTGGCCAAACATTAAAATTTTTAAAACTGAGAAGAAACATCATGTAGATAATGATTAAGTCACTGAGATGAGATATTTACCTATTCTACTACTCCAGACGCTTTGTTGTTATTTCAAATCCCCAAACACTGGAATGCTTTAGAATTTTTAAACCATTGACCATATTTAGTTATGTTTAAATGAGACTATAAATCAGAATAAATTGAACATTGTCTATTTTAAAATGTTTGCATAGCATAGTTGAAAAATATAGCTCAGCAAATTTTGTTGCTAATCCAGTAGCAAATATTTTGACTACTCAATATACCAAAATGCTATAATCAAGTTGACGCTAATAGATATCATTTATTTAGGCAAACTGACATTAGGTTCACCAAGTTTAGAAAACAATTCCATCCGGTCAGACAAGTGGGCAGCTTAGATATTTACCATGAACCATATTATGCCCTAAAGGCTAAACTTGTTAAGCTTAAAATGAAGTAATATGTTTGTGAAATATGGGGCTAGCACACTGGGAACTTAGCATTTCTCTTACTGTCATGTATCATTTTCCACCAGTATTATTAAGTGTAGGAAAATAAAATCCTCTTGAAGAAGTAATTAGAAAAATGGCACATCAGGGAATGTAATTGAGAGTAGACTTTGGTTGACCTCCGAATAGAACAAAAGCTCAAAGAAATTTCATAAAGTTTTAAATTTGGCAAGACGACTACAATATCTCTGATAATTAGACTTTCAACACATTTGGATCTGTTAATTGGATCTAAGTTCTAATTAGACTCTTTATGTAACTAAGAATGACATATCATTGTATGAATTTAATGTGCTTTTACAGTTGAAACCAACAATTAGCAGCATTTTCCAAATTATTTTTAAAAGGAAAAAGCTGGCTTTGTTATTTATATTGTGACATCCCCTTCTTTTCAGATATATTACGTACATTTTTGTTTTCTTAATTAGAAACCTTTTGAGAAGCTCAAAGGAAAATTTGAGTTTTAATAGGAAGCGCCTAAATCATTTATTTGTGGGGGAGACTTGCCAGCCACTGTGTTGATGACTTAGGAAGCCATAGGACACAATGCAAATACAAGAAAATAAATCACAGTCATCAAAAGGAAACAGCACAAATAACTGTTTGTCCCTTTAACCATTCAGTTGATCAAGACAGTCTCTGAAGGTGACTAAAGGTCTGTTACATTTTTAAAGTATGAAAATGCAGAGTAGTTTCCCAAATGTGGAGGCTCAAGGAGGCAGCATCGGGACGAACCACATGACATTTCTGCCCAAGATGTGCCTTGCAACCTTCTCTGTGCAGCTGGGCTCCTTGAGCAGTTATCTGCTAATTCAAGTCACGTCATCTCTTTCTTTTCTCCTTATTTTGATTGAGAGTCATCAATTTTTATCCACTGAGATTTATAGGCAGTAATTTAAAAACTGGTAGCCCTCAGATTTGGGTATTGCAAGAGATAAGAACTACATGAGAGTGTGAAATGAAACCAGGATTTTGGAGAAAAAAGAACAGTGAATCACTGCAAAACGTTAAGGGGAAGGCTGCTGCCAGAGTATTCCAAGCAAATTGATAGCCCTGACAAAAAAGGCAAATTATATTGTTTTATGTACTGTGAATACTTTGAAAACAACAAAGCCATATATATGCATGATGTTTTCCTCAAATAAAAGCAGTTACCCTTCGAACCACACTGAAAATATGGTAGCTTTTTCCCCCCAGTAAAACTGTATATGGTCAAATTAAAACCACTGAAACTATAAGAATATCTAACTTGTACCATAATTGATGTATTAGAATAGACTTATGCTAGAATTATATGCGCTATTATTTCTCCAAGTAATGCATTAACTAAGACTGAATTGTTGGTGTATATTTAACTTCTCATTAAGTTAAATGTCCTCAATGAGCTTCCTAACACATGTTGGACACTGTCATATGCCATATGATGATATTAAAAGCAGGAAATGGCATTTCTGATTGCTTCATTTGCTATTAAAAAAGAAAACTTGTGCAGGACACTTTTGATACCAGTTATTTCCAGAGCTATCACACAGTCTTCCCAAGGTCTGTACAGAGCTGTCGGACTGTTCTTCAGGGAGAAAGTGACCAAAGCTATTTTACCTTTCAGCTTGGGTGCTGGAATCCTGTTACGGGTCTGAACGGGTCACTGACGGACAAGAAACTGGAGAATAACATGCGTGGAGTGGTTCTACGTGTGGTGACTGTTCTGGTAAGTCTTATCTGAACCTTGTGATTGGAGCTCCTAGAGGTGACTTTAGCAAATATTTCTCAAGGTTTTAGTAACTGATGACTCATCTCAAAAGAGCTTTTAACAAATTCCAAATGTGCTTTCTAAGATAGCTTTAATGATCATCTTTTCCAGCCTTCAGTTTATGTGGATCAGGATGGGAGTTTTGCAGTCTTTTCTTTTCAATGCAGTGCTTGTGTTAGCAACTTTCTTAGACACTTAAGACCCAATTTCCCATTTTCTACACAAGATAAAGTAAAAGTATCTCTCAGGCATTTTCTCACTGAAAGTATAGTAAGCATAAATGAAGATAACTATGTCAAACGACTGTAGATAGAATAAAATGTGTACATTCAGTCGTAGCAAAATATTAGCAGATGAAAACAACTCTTTTCCAGTAAGGATCTGCTTCAAAGGAAAGATCATCCAGTTGTTTAAGATTTTTATTGAGTGTCAGCTATTCCCAGCTCCATGCTGACTAATGAGGACATTGACAAATAAATTAGACAGATATGACTCTGTTTTTATGGAATTTATCATCTAGTAATTCTGTGAATCTTAAATGAGATTACAGTCGTCCCCAGTTGTCTGCAAGGGATACAGTCCAAGACCCCCACTTGATACCTAGTGTTAAAACCTATATATATTATGTTTTTCCCTACACAATTACATTGTATAGGGCAGAGGATATACATGTGGATACCCTGAACAAAAAGACATCTCACCTCCTGGGCATGATGGTGCAAGAACACGTCATTTCATCAAACTACTCGGAATGATGTGCCTTTAAAACATATGAATTGTTTATTTTTAGAATTTTCCATGAACTCTTTTCAGATTGTGTAGGTATAGAAAATAGAGAAAGAAAGGCCACAGATAACAGAGCACTCCTTTCTTTGTGTGAAACATTTGTTGCTCTTCCATTTACTTATTAGAAAATCAGTAAGTAGTGACTATTACTATAATTCTCCATATCATATTATCTCCCCTTTACTTCCTAAGAAATCTATACAGTCAATTACACACAGATTAATAAAATTGATTTTGCTTACCTAAGTTTTGAATCCTCCTTCCTGTCACTATTAATGATACTTTATTGACTTGAAAGAAATAATATTTACCTTAATCTAAATAATTTAGCAATATACTGTTTGGGATTCCAGGGACAAATAAGTGATATATTCAGACGGTTCTTTGGAGATTTAAAGTGATTATTAATAAAGATTCAAATAGGGTTAAAGGAATAATCAAGCATTGTTGAAGTCCAGGGCCAAGTTGCACAGGAAGCCTTGACTTTCATTGAGGCTGATGGAGAATGGGGAAGGAACTTAGTAGCAGACCTGGCAATAGCTAGAACCATGGGAAAGAGAGAGCTGTGTCTTTGTAGCAAAGAACTTTAGTACAGGAAGGGGAAGGGAATCATTGTCAAAAACACAATCAGGCAATGAGAAAATGGGAAGAGGGGATGCCCTGATTTCACTCCTGTCTCTTCATTTCTTTTCGATCCACAATTGCAAATTCAGCTTGAAGTCAGAGGACAAGGAAGGCCAAGTTTAAAGACCATAAGGTTTAGCCTTCTAGGACACAGAGCAGGGCTGTGAGGGTTACAGTGAATCCAGAATGGAGCAGAGAAAAACTAACATAAACACCTACCATTTGATAGGACCTGTCATTAAAAGGTCATAAGTATTAACTTATTTAATCCTTATAAAATCCTATAAGAGATGTACTAATTACATTAGAAATATGAAAATAGGGCATATAAGAGTCAACAAAATTTCCATCTCTGTATAGCTAATAAGAGCCAGAAAAATTTCTCTTTCGGAGATTGTGGTTCCAGAGGCTGTGTCCTTAGTTACGCTCATATTCTGCCTTCTGAATCAAAATGAACTTAAGTTAGTTTAAAGGAAATACGTCTAACTATTGAGATGTGAGTGTTGCATATGTTATTGGATTGGTAACTTATGGACATTTTTTCAAATGATATCACATAGAGATAACTTTATATTCAACCTTCACCAAAGCCACGGAAATATGTCTTAGAAATGGAGGAAAGAATAAATGAGAATAAAAGACAAACCCTATAGTTTGGTGTCTCTGCTAATCTCTTAGTTTCTATATTTTACCCCATTTTACAAAGTGGATCAAGTATGTGCTACCAGAAAAGAGTTATGGAGATTTTGTTTTCCCTCTTGATGTCCTAAGTTGTATGAGTGTACATAACCCAAAATGACCAGTTATGTCATTCAAATTTTTTATGATAATTCCCAAAAAAAGCTATTGGAAACATCACTGAGTAATAAACATACTCATAATACTTATTAAAATAAGATGGAAAGAATTTGACAACAAATGAAAAGAAAAGCATGAGAATCTATGCTGCAGGAGGGACCAGGTATCTAAGAAACATAAGCTGGCATTTAGAAGGAAATCACTAATTAGTAATTCTTGTTTTCCTGATTTAATTTGACTTAAAAGATGTTGCAACCCCTAAGGCCCTGGTCTTGATTGCAACAGGAAAGAACCGGCATGAGGCGGATTAGAAGTATAAGCTTGCTGGAGCCCAGGCTAACCTTGATTGCAGGGTAGCCCTGAGCAACTGCTGCAGTAGCCTTTTATTGAGACAGTACATCGCAGGTGAGGGGGGTATTAGACAATGGCCGCGTGCCTAAGGATCGCCATGGGCTGGGGCTCTTTCTTTGCAATGAACAACTAAGGTTGAATTGCCCAAGGGTCCGCCCACCAGCTGCGAATCTTCTTGCTCAGAGGTGGTCTGGCTCTCAGCATCCTCTACAAAAAGACACTTGGCATTCTCTAATAAACACGTGCTCACTCACAAATTCACTAGAGAAATATTTACTGAGCATCTTCTAGATCAGGCATCCTCAAACTATGGCCCGCAGGCCACATACAGCCCGAGGAGGACATTTATCCAGCCTGCCTGATGTTTTTGCAGCTGCTCCCTGTCCTGCTTAGCAGCCAACTCTTCCCAGGGCCTGCAGTCTGGCCCTCCAACAGTCTGAAGGACAGTGAACTAGCCCCCTGTTTAAAAAGTTTGAGGACCCCTGTTGGGGTACATACTAAGCAGACAAAGATCCTAACTTCAGGGAGTTTCATTCTAGCAGGACAGAGCCTAAACCTCTCAAAATAATATCCTTAATAAATGCAGTTATTCCACTCTACATATACAATACAGCATTGCCTAACATTACCATGAAAATAATAATTAATAAAAAAATGCAATGACTTTGTAAACACATATGATTGAAGTCTGTGGTAAAGCTGTTACAGTAATTTTTCTGTATTTGATAAACTAAAAAATATATTTTTATATTTTCATGTCTTTGAAATTAGGATGTATCTTTCAATTGCTTTGTGCAATTATAACCGTCAGTGGTTTCATCTTTTTAATGTGTGAAACAATTATGCATCTTACAATAGGAAACATTTGAGATTAAATAAATATGATATTTTTACAAATTAAGTCAGTGGATTTTCCTGGAAAGTTAAATTCAAAAACACTGGGCAAGAAGCCATCGTAAAGAGAACAACTATTTTAAGGAATACCTCAGAAAGAAAATAAATAACAGCAGGAATTATGCCAATGAAAAAAATAGAATAGTAATAGCAATGAAAACTTACTCTAAACTAAAACTGTGCTACACTCACAGAAGGATCAAAGTAGGAAATGCACAGAGATAGCTTGTCTTAACCCAGTACCACCAAAGCAAGGTCCCAGCTACCTGTTGAGAGAAGGGAAGGTTTTCCTAGGCAACTCACCTTGGGAAGGGTTATTTGCCTGGCTGAAGCAGAGAGATACCTACTGAGATATCATTTTAAAAGTAATTTCTTTCTCCTAAAATTCCCCATTATTAATCTCACCTCTTGAAACTAGTTTTAACAGGTCTTATTCCCCTGTGAAAATTCATATGTGTTGTCTGAGGTCTAAAACTATTAGTCTTGACTCAGCAACTATTTATTGAGCATGTAATGTAAGCTAAGCATTGTGTTGACTTCCAGAGAGGCAAAGATAAATAAGATATCGCTCCTGCTTTCAAAGAGTTCCATGTGAACCATTTTATCCAAAGTAGTAAGTTATCAGAAAATAAGAACTATGTGTTCAGGACTCAGAATTAAATAGATTTTGGAGAAGCTAAGAAAGAATGATAAAATTCAGAGAGAGAAAGAGAAACAGGAGGGAGAGAGAATAAGAAAGAGAAGAAGGAGGGTGAGGAGGAGAAGATTGGAGGAAGAAATTTTTAATTCAAAACATTAAGAAATTAAGAATCATTCCTGATATGGAATAACAAGTCCACATTTGATAAGTTACAAGTGATAAAGAATCATTGATTTTTCTAAATCTTAGAGTCAGTTGCTATTTGCCTTCTTTGCTACACAATTTTTTTTTACAGTTTTTAGCTTGGGCTGGGTTTAAACCTACCACCTCCAGCATATTGGGCCAGTGCCCCACTCCTTTAAGCCACAGGCGCCACCCACTACACAATGTTTTTATGTTCACATGGACTAATAGTTCATAATTCATTTTCCCACAATCTGTGGGTAGCCTGAAATTATACAAAATCAGTATCATGGATAAAGGAGGGAAAGAATAAAATAAAGGGCAATGTGGGACTGTGATCCTCTAAGGAAATAACAGTTCCCATAGAAATGTTGAGAATTTAACCTACTTTTAATAAATACAGGTAAAAAGTAATTTTTTTTTCACTTTGAGGGACATTGGGACTAATTGCTAGAGTCTTAATCTGTACAAATAGAAGAAAGTATGAGGGTTAGATGTACTTGTTTATATATATTAGTGTAAAGTCAAGTGACATACTTAATTTCCTCTTAATTAATATACCTTTTAACCAAAGAAAAGACTAAATAACATGGGATTAATCTTTTATTGGAAACATTTCAACCTATTTTGTTACTTTTTCTCTACCTAGTCTTCTCTCTTCAGCTTATTCATATTAGAAGCA